TACAAGAAACGAAAAGCTCAAGGTTTGGAACAACTTACCTTGTTGGAGGCTGGAGGGTATACTGGACTTTGAAGTGGTTTCCTTGAATGCTGCCGGATTCGAAGGAAGGGACCAGAGGCGGCGTTTCTACTGTTTGATTTGAAGGATAAAAACAAATGAGATGTATTTTCTACTGGATTCGAAAGGGAATAAAATGTGTGGGACTTTTCAGAATTGAAAGAGGTAAATGTTAGATTGTGGGTTTTTGCTTTCATAAGTGTTTGAGTGTTTGAGAGATTTGTTGTGTTTGAGAAAATTTTAGAGATTCGTTCCTCTGGCCAAAAAGTCCTCCTTTGAGCTTGCAAATGCTTCTCTATTTATAGAGAAAAGAAATGATGTATTTGAAGTAACCAGGTTTGTATGATGACAAACCATGGTTTGGTTAAAGGTGAAACAAGCCAATCCCTTTTCGTTGTTCTCACGTTTTCAGTACAAGTCGGGGCCTACTGGCAGAAGATTGGACTTATGCTTTTGACATTGCTTGTGTTCAGACAAAAATCAGGTTGGAAGTTGCTTTAAAAGTACTCTCTATGGAAAAAAAAGGTACGTATCCTTTGCTATTTTAACCAAGAATAGTATTATCGAGTAGGAAAAGCTTTGAACCTTTGTACAAGCTTTTGATTATGTAAATATTTGGAAGAAAAATAGCCTGACAAGTAGGGTACGGCTATAAGATTTGCTCAAACTTGCTTCGAAGGATCCAGAGTTGGGTTCGAAAGATGTTGATCCGAAGGAAACCAAAACTCCAATCGAAGCTTCGTGTGAAGGTGGCTCTTGTCTAATCAAAGGCTTGCCTTCCAGAAGTCACATGGCCAAACGAAAGGGTGTATGCAGGAGGTCAATTGTGCAATCGAAGGATGCCAAAAGGTGCAATCGAAGGATATCAGCAGGAGGCTTTTTGCCTTGGAATCTAAGGACGGTGTTTCAAAGGGAAACAAAACTCAATCGAAGCTTGTATGAAGATAATTTCCTTCTGAATCCAAGGAAACTTTAAGGAAGTCCTAGTCCAATCGAAGCAGTCTTGAAAGAGACTAAAATCCAAACGAAACAAGGGAAATCGAAGAAGGCCTGAAGGAGATCAAAGTCCAATCGAAACCTTGTGAATCGAAGTAGATTTACAGGGGACCAAAAATCCAATCGAAGCAAGGGGAATCGAAGAAAACTTATTTTTCTCCAATTTTATTGAAAAGATTATTTTTATCTGTTTTGTCCTTTTTAACAGTTTCCTCCAATTGTACTTGTGCAAGCTTGAACTTTGAGAATCCTTGTGAGAAATGCCTTGAGAAATGAGATGGCAAATTTTAGGATGCAATAATATGCAATGAAAATTTATGCAGAAACTTATTTTTCATGACTTTGATCAATTTCAAAATGACTTTTAACAGTTCCTAAGACCTCTAGTGCAAAGGAGTGTCACAAGACATAAAGATACCATCTAATATACAATAATGCTAATTTTTTTTCAATTTTGACATCATGCAAAACATCTAATGACGAAGTTGTATTTACAAATATGTATTCAGGCAATAATAATAATAATAATAATAATAATAATAAATAAAATTAATAGTATTATATAATATCGAACTGCCACTATTAAAAATAATATTATCTATAAAAATTATAATTATTTATCTATTACGCAATAGTTGAATATATATATATATATATATATATATATATATATATATATATATATATATATATATATATATATATATATATATATATATATATATATATATATATATATATATATATATATATATATATATATATATATATATATATATATATATATATATATATATATATATATATATATATATATATATATATATATATATATATATATATATATATATATATATATAAAGTAACATTTATAAAAAAATTGTTTCAATTATTTCATTATTCTAATTTTTACTTTTTTAATTCTCAATAATAGCTTTCGCTTTAATTGCTTTCACTTTAATATGTAAAAAAATATATTTATTTTATATTTAACTAAATTATTTTTTAAATGTACCCTAATTTTTTACTTTTATTAAAAAAAATATCTTTTTTATAAAGTCTATAGTTCTCATTTTAATAGCTTTTATTTTAATATTTTAAAAAATTCATTTCTATAACTTTTACAATTCTATAATTTGTAATACTTTATAATACTTTAATTCTTTAATTTTTTATTTGTATAACTTTCATAATTCTACAATTTTAATATTTTTTTTTATGAAGTCTTTAATTCTTTTTTTAATAGTTTTTACTTTATGTTTCATAAAACTTTTCATTTCTATAATTTTTCATTAATTTAGGAGACATAAATATAAGGATTTTGTTGAAATAACATTCCTCATCTAAAATGGTAGACACAATAATATTTTTCTTTAATATTGTATCATTGAATGTATATCATCCATTTTTCTTTCTTTTTATTATTTTGTATGTGAAATACTAATATGTTACTTCTGTTATTTCGGTTGTATGGTAAAAATTTCATTGTAAATTTTTTATTTCTATTTTTCTTTTCTTTCATTTTCATTGTTAATATTATGAATTACGTACTTATTTTGAAATGGATTGAATTGTAGAAATTGATATGAAGATTTTATCGTCATTTCAACTACTTTCTGTATTTTTAAATTAAACATACCACTTACACGTCTCTTTTTATATTATCTTTAAAAAATCTATTTTTCCATTTCTTTTTAATTTCAGATGTTTACTATTTCATTTTCTAAAATGTGTCTTTCTTTTTTTAATTTCATGTGGATGTTTTGAAGATATATATATGAGGATTTTATTGAGATCAATTCTCATGCGAAAATATACTCAATAAAAAAATTAATTTATGTTTTTTTCATTTTTTTATCATATACTAAATATATATCAGCCACTTTTCTTTCTATTAATTATTTTTGTACGTAAAATATTAATATGTTACTTAATCACCGTCGTGTATGATAAAATATTCATTGTAAGTTGGATATTTTTTCATCTTAATGTAAATATTGTGAGTTACTTATTTAAAATAGATAAAATTATATGAGAAATATAAAAAAAAAAATATTACTTATAATTATAGCGACAATAATATTGTAAAAATTATATAATGGAGTGTGTACCTTTTAATTATTTTTAATTTTATTTAAAGTTATTATTATTCTTCACAAATTATATTATTTAAAAATTAAAAATAAACTCATTTATGTCAATGAAATCAGAAATTAATATATCAATGTTTATAAAAAAAATAATGAAAATATATATTTTATCATAAAAAGTTATAACTACTTAAATACAAATGCCACCAATTAAAAAAATATATATGATGTGCTACATCTAAAAAATATCATATTGTTTTCTTATATATAATCAATTAAAAAATAACGATTATTACATTAAACAATTTTTTTAAAGCTGTTCAATTTTCACACTTTCAATTTAATAGTCTATAAACATATTTGTCATTAAATTTAATAATATTTTTTAGTTAATTAATTATCATAGTAAAAAAAATTCTATTTAATTTTTTTTTTAATTAAAAAATTAATAATTTAATTACAAATATAATCTAAATGGTCTTTACCAGTAAAGGATGGTGTTTCTAAGATAGTAGTGGTATGCTTTATTTGGCAGGTACATCTCATTACTTTGGTACCTCTCTCCACAATAGAACATGAAGTTATGGTTCTAAAAGAAGCTATGCATGATGCTGGCTATCCATATGCAGCTACATCAAATCATTTTTGAGAGTAACAACCAATTGGTGGTCCAAACGTTAAATAATAACCATATTTTGAGTTAAGTTTGTTAAACGAACATGGTTGCTTATACATTAACACAGGTTATGCTATCCATATGCAGCTACATCAAGTCATTTTTGAGAGTAACAACTTGCTTATACATTAACAAGGGCGACAGATTCATCATTCTCTAGGCATAATGTGCTTAATATGATTCCTTCTTGTAAGGATCATTGGTTGATTAATGAAATAAAATAAGTTTGTTTGTCACGGAAAAAAAATATAGACTGCAGCAGAAGATTATTGATCCGAATTAACCAGTAGTTATAACAAGCCTATGCCACTAGAATAATCCATCATGGAAATTTATAGCACTTTCAAACAAAATAAATAAAAACAAGTATGAAATTTTAAATATCTATTTCTGTAATTTCTAATTTGAATCTTTATGTGTAGTAACTAAAGCTGACTTTTCTCGAACAGTAATAATTTCATTAACTTAAGTTTCTTAAAGATTAATGAATAAAATGCAAGAAAAACAAACATTGTATCATTAGAGATAACAAACAGTGTAATCATTAGAGATAACAGAGTACACAAGCAGATTACTAACATAAAAAACAATTCCCCAAAAATTAAAATCAAACAAAATTCAGAGGCTAGAAATCACCCACAAATCTACTGGCCATATCACCTGCATCTGCAAGAAAAATTTTAAGTAACATTAGGACAGGGTAAACAAATCAACTCAGGAATGATAGACAATAAAAGTGGCCCCATTGTAATTATGAAAAATTATAAGAATAGAACTTAAAAGTTATCAAAGACATACTAACTGTTAAAACTAAGTTTCTAATTCTCCTTAAAGTCACAATTGATTATTCAAGCATAAAATAGTCAAATTTGCAGATCAGACATCTACCAGTAAAGGACAGCATAACTTTTGGGCATATGAAAGTCGTGGTAAGACAAAGTGCAACATTAAATTAAATGATAACAAAAACAAATGACGACAACAGGAAAGATGGATTCACTATTTTGAGAGTTTTGTTATTATACTAGAAAATTTGGTTTATGCTTAAGAATGTTGATAGAACCATATATGAAAAAAAACACATTACAAGTTTCAAAGATGATCCACATCAAGTAACAAAATGCATAAGAAAAACACAGAAAGGAATCAGAACTCAAAAAGAATCCAGACTCAAGTTTACCTCAGATGTTACTGGGATACATAAATACTCTAATCCTTGATCCCTGAAATGAATCAAAACTCAAAGTGAATATAACATTACAAAACACAATGATTAAAATAATTGTATTGGTATATTATTACCATTGATTTGGGAGGAAGATTTGATGTGAATTTGGCACGAACAATACCACTGTTTCCGTGTGGCCTTGTAACCTTTCCCCATAGGCAGCGGTAATGGGTTCCATTCTTCTTCACCTTGGCCTTGTAGATATATGCCAATCGCTTGCCGGCATACCAAGCTACCTCCTCCTTGGTGTTAACTCCTTCGATTTGGACCAGAGATGTGTTTGGGTACTGGTTTGATTTGGATCTACAAAAACAACATGAAGGAATAAGTATCAAACAAAATACTCTTAACACTATATTTCAGTTTTACAGAGGAATGAAGAATGTACCTCTTGTATCCAAGAATTGTGCCCCTCACATAAAGCCTAACACAGATTGAAAACGAATAGCAGAAAAAAGATTAAACTACAATATCACGTCAAAAGCTACGAGTACAAAAAATCGGAAATCGGAACGAAAAAGACGGTGACAGATGAAATGAAGAAAGTACCTAACACGCTCGCCTTGACGTCCTTTCACCATCTTCACGGCAGCTGAAGCAAATTCGGCCAAATCTCAACACTCAGAAATGGCTCTTTTAGGGTTTTATTATAGTCGGAGCTTGTGGTGCAGTAGAAAAGCTGATTAGGGTTTTTGCGTTGATTTGGCCCAGTACAGTTTTCCACTTGGGTCATGTTTCCTATACACCACCGTTCAAATTCATTTTCACACCCAGTTAAAAGGTGAATTCAATTTAAAGTTTCAAATATTTTAATTTTTTTCAATTTATTATTTTATTTTTTAAATTATTTACAATTTTGAACCAATTTTAATTATTAATTTTTTTAATTATCTTTAAATCAATTTCTAGGAGATTTTCGGATATACATATCTGAAAATTCCATGTTTACACGTTAATAAATATTCAGTGATATTTAAGTGTTGGTTCAAATATGCATCTCTGAAATCCTGGACAGGATGCTATTTAATAGAAAACATTGATGTGGTACCTAATAAATGTCAAACATTTGATACGTAATTCCTTCAAATGATACCGAAATATCAAAGACCAAAAATGATATGAACATAAATTGTTCATAAATACCGGAAATTAGTACATAAATTATTTAGAAAGTACAAGATGTAAAATAAATACATCGGTAAATAAAAGAAAGGTATGGTCTACTGCGTATGCTTAATGCTAACCCCCTAACCCCTCATCTGCCTCATGTAACCCACTGCAAGAGATGTCTCCCTAACCATCATCTCTACGATGGCCACCGCCTCAGGACCGCCTCACTCAATGATCTCTAAGTCCAAAGTCTCATGCTCAATCAACTGTATCCACTAAAAGATTGGTAAGACATTAGTGGCATGGTCATCCTGGGCCAGCTGATTTTTCAAGATCTCCTCATGAGTTTTCCTAGGTGGACGTCCAGGAGCATCTGGTGTCATAATATGGTGTGACATTGTGTAGAACCATGTGAGTATCCCTCTACACAATACCAACTGACGTATCCCTCCTGGAACCAAATGATTCTCCCAATCCTGGAAGATGCCATCGAGCTCTCAGTGGAGAGTGGTGTCAGAAGCAACCTGAAAGGGAGATCTGGGTATGGTTTGTACATAGTCAAACTGTTAGATGTATCGCTCCGGAAGATACTTGACCATAGTGTTGGTCTTACATGCCAACCACCCTAAGTATAATGAGATGGGGTCGAATCGGACAACCTCCTGTGATCTTCAAAAAGCGTCCAGATGAAGTCATCATGAACAGTCCGATTAAGATACACCCAGGATGGTGGCATGACATGATTCCCTCTATGGAGGCTATAGCCTTCGGCATGTCCTCAGTATAATCCAACTCATAATTGAAACCATTAATACGGTGGAAGTGAGAAATGATCCATCCCTGAAAACGAATAAGACATATGTAAGAAAAAAATTATTAATAGCAAATTAAATGTAATAGTTGAAATGAAAGGTACCGTGAGTAGTGTGCAAGAGCATGTCAACCGCCTCGTCCTCCATTTAACAGCTTTGTTCAGCTTTTTGTATAGATATACCAAACATCCAGCCCCCCAGTTCCACTCCCCAACTGTACCCAAATCAAAAAGTACTGAAGAAATGCCACATCCACGTAGGTTACACTATTGTCCACAAAAATGGACGTGCCAACCAAGAACAAAAAGTAACACTACAAAGCACACTCGCGGTGGTACTTAACAAAGAACTCATCGCCCTCACTCTCGGTAGCATCTCTCGCATCCAGGTGCTCGCCATATAGTTAACTCAGAAATGAGAACTTGGCATGAGCCCTATTAGTTGAGTCACATTGTTCGAATGCCTTTTCCGGTTGAGCTCTCAGATACTCCACCATCCATTTAATCGCTTCACCACGAGTAATCTGGAAGTGGTTAAGTAACCTTCCTCTGATAAGAAGGTGTAAAAGGCATGTGACGTCGTCAAGTGTGATTGTCTTCTCCCTAACAGGAAAATAGAAAGATGACGTGTCCTTGTGCCATCTCTCGGCAAATGCCTCTTGCATGCAATGGCTAAATGAAACAACAAAGTCTAGCAAGTCCATATCCAAGAACGGCCTCCCTAAACCAATCCTCTCTAGGATGATATAGCTCAAATATTTTCGGCGCGTGGTTGACGGACTTTATGGGGCGGTGTTCCTGTTAAAAAAATTAATGTTAACGTTAGTCTTTAAGATATTTATGCATAAATCATTTAAATGAAAAAAGTGTAATAAAATATATACCTCTCCATTCCAAACATGTGGAGCGATATGATTAGTATAATAGATCAATAGGGATGTGTCAGATGGTCCTCGTGGATACTTCATGTTTTCTTTCCCCATTGCTGCATGTAGCCTTGCAACCAATGTATCAACCTTATCGGGCTCCTGTTCTGGAACATCAACCTCCTTGGGTACCTGCACATTATCCCGAGACAAGAACGCATGAGACATGTGACTCCTCGAAGTTAAAGTGGATCCTTCCGCCACTTTCTCTCGCGGTATCCGACACCATCCTCGATTCCTAGTAGCCTGATCAGCTTTCTCACGTCGAGTAGAGGCAGTATGGTTGGTCTACCAAGCATCAATCTGGAGTTTGAGTACTCAACCATTACCTTAGAAAAAAATAACAATTACTCAAGGAAGGAACAAGTTTGAATAACTTTGAAAAACTTTAAAAAAAATACAACCATGTCTTAATTTCGGATGTGCATATCTGAAACCGCTCAGAAGGGTTTTTGGATATGCATATATGAAACAACCTGCGACAACCATTTACAGACCAGGTGAAGCTTCTTGCCCTAAATCACCCAAAAACTTAATTTTACACCCAAACAGCCACATTTCACAACTTATACTTCAACCAACTCAATTTACATTATTCTAAATAACATATTTTACATTTGTAAAGTAGAACAATGGATTCGGAGAAACTTACTCAAATTCGAAGCTTTGAAGTGTTGTTGAAATGGGTTGAAAATGTGATTTGCTTCTTGAAGATGTAGTTTGTTCTTGAAATGAGTTGAAAGTATTGCTCAATGATTGCAAAAAAATAGAGTTGGAATTGGGCGAGTTGAAATATAGATGGAAATGGGAAAGACATATTTTGTTTCATTATTTTGTGTATATTAACACAATTCAGAAATTCATGTCTGAAAACCCCCTTGTATTTCAATTAAAGGATTTATTCTAATATGCATATTCGAAAGCCCCCTAAAAATAGAATATTGGAGATGTCCGCTTTAATTTTGGATGTGCTCAAATATCAAATTAAAGTGGGCATCTGGAGCATGTTTGACACCTATAAGCAATAATTGCATTCCCATGTTGGTTTGCAAGCAAACATCACCAACACCGATTACCTTAGATACGTCATTATTATCCATCTTTAACACTCCAAAGTCACCAGAAGTATAAGATGTGAAGAAATATTTCCTTGGTGTAACATGCAATGTAGCACCACTGTCAACTATCCACATGCTCTCGTCTGATACGAGATTAACAGACTCATGATCACGTAGAATAACACGATCTTTAAAAGTAGTAGTAGTAACATGATCATCATCATGATCATCATGATTTCTTTGTTCAGAGTTACATTTCTTGCCTTTTTTATCTTTTTTCCACTGATAATAATACTTTTGTATGTGTAGTGTTTTGTGACAATAATGACACTCCAGATTTTTGTATCACAACTTGGACTTGCTTATACTATTATTTATACCATCCTTCGGATCCTTTTTCTGACTTCTCCCCTATTTTCAGTGACAAGTGCCTCAAATTGAGATGAAGAACTGTGTGTCATCCTTCTTATCTCCTCATTAAGAATATCACCCTTAGCCATTTCTAAAGAAACAACATCTATAGAAGTAGAACTTATGATATAAACCTGAAATGTCATCCAAGACTCTAGTAAAGATAGTAATAGAAATAGTCCTAAAAGTTCATCATCAAGTTTAATACCCATTCCTGACATCTGATCAATGAGCCCTTGAAATTCAATTAAGTGATCTGAAATAGAAGTCCCCTTCTTGTACTTCAAACTTATGAAGTTATTCAACAAGAACAATTTATTATTCTCTAATTTAGAGGCATACAAGGACTATATCTTCTCCCACAAAGTTTTTGCATGTGTCTCATTTGAAATATGATTATAAAAATTGTCTTCTACGTATTTTCGAATAAAACCACATACATGTTGATGTTTAAACTCCCATTCTTCATCATACACTGAATCTGGCTTTGCAAAACTAAAAATCGGTAAATGCAATTTATTCACAAATAGTAAGTCTTTCATATTTCCCTTCCATAAATTGTAATTATAACCATTCAACAATACTATATTCATCTTTGTATTTGACTCCATCATTCAAACAAGTAAAATAACCCTTAACCAAGAGCTTTGATGCCACTCTGATGGGAAATTAAGACAAAATAACAGAATAATATGCAGCATATATAAAATTTTCCACACTTATAAGAACCTTGAGGATCAACAACAAATATAAGACAATAAACTGAACTGTTAGTACCATGGTTTTGGGCTTGGCAACTTTTGCCTAAAACATGGTTCTGACCAGATGTCGAATAGGATGTCATGACATCGTGTTCTATTATGCAGCAATCAAGGTGTTGTTGTTTTTAAATATTGACAGATTGGATTTGATTATGTTATATTTCCTTTGGATATATATCGGGGATTTTCGCAGGTCAAGAAGATTTGTTTTGGAACAGGTTTCATATCTCTAGTTGTACATAAGATAGTAATTTGAGCCTTGAGACAAATTAGGAAACTTTGTGTTGGTTGTTCCAAGATTTAAGGAGATTCGCTATACAATTGGTGCATCACTCAACTTATGGATCAAGAAACTTCTGGACTCAGAATATCGAAGCCCGTGGACTGCAGAGTTATATTTAAAGAAGAATCCTAACCTAATGTATTTTAAGTTTTCAACAATCATAAAATTATGGGAAGCATAAGTCTTAGGTTTTGAGAGTCTCTTGTGTAGTTTTTAAGTCA